TCTCTGGCTCGGCAGACGGGACGTGAACGGTCTCAGGTTCGGTGGCCCTGACGTGATGCGTAGTCTCAGCTGGACTGACGTGAAGCAGCTCAGGCACGGCAGGACTGACGTGAAGCAGCTCAGGCACGGCAGGACTGACGTGAAGCAGCTCAGGCACGGCAGGGAGAAACTCCGGCAGGGCGGTCTCAGCGAGATGAGACTCAGGCACAGTGGCGTAGACAGGGGAGGGGCCATGGGGGCACTGGCCCCTTCTGAAAACTGATTGGCCCCCCAGTGTGTCCCCACCCTTCTACTTGTCTGTCACTCAAAAATTCAAATCATAATCTTTCAGTTTGTAGTAGAATAATTCATGATTCCGCGCCGCGATGCTTCTCAACGAGGACCAAGAATAGCGAGCTAGAGTTTTTTCTATTTCTTTTTTTTTTTTTTTTTTTGACCCAGCGCCAATATTTCCGCCCGTGTTCTTTGATTTTTTACTTAGACTTGAGTGAACTAACATTCAGCCAATCACAGCGCGAAGCATCTATTGGGCGCGTCTGCCATGAGCTTCAAATCTCTTGTTGCTCTTGCGAATTTTCGTGTTCGTTTAGTTGCAGTTTGGCCGTCTAATGTATTCCATGCATGCACCCCAGAAAAAAAGCAGAGGACGATTACATCATTTTTTTGACACACACTGTAAGTATAATGTGTTAAAGTAGTCGCGATGACATGAATCACACGTAAAGTTTCCTTATGATTTAACCTACTGTAACGCAGTAAGACAACAGAACCCGAGTGTGTGTTAGCCTATGCTCTCCTACTTGTTGCTTTGGATAAAAGCGTCTGTTAAATGAGACATAACAGATTATTCCCAGCAGGCACACAACGTCATAAGACGTTGATATTTGGTTAAATTTTAGTTGCGACGTCGGGTGACCAAAATTCAATGTAAATTCAACATCTAATGTCAATGTTAAATTGATGTCCAATACCGAATACATTGATTTAGGTTTTATTGATATTTTTATAAAATGTCTGTTGTATAAAATTACTGTAGGCTAGATGTAATCTGTATACTAGGCTACTCATTGAACACTTTTTTTTTGTCCAACTGTTAAGAAGTAACGTTAAGATAAGTTATTGTTCAAGTGTAGTTTAACTGAAATATTGTAAATATCATAAAATATCTTTATTTCATAAAAATAAAGTATAGATGTCCACAGTTGTCTGAAAGTCAAGTCCTGCAATATTTTTTTATTTCGAGTATGATTTCACAAAAATAGGTTGCTGTAAGCTATTATGGCATGTTCCCAAAATTGGCACTAGGGTGCTGTAAAATGCCAATTGCTATTCTATCTAGAATTTATTATTATGAACATCACCTTTCAGTCCCTCCAGAAAAAGGCGATTATGCGATCGCATGATTCAATGCATAATCAGCCAAAGTCTGCATATTTATGCGGGGGCATTTTTTCAAATACGCTGCACTTTTGCCGTATAAATTGCCGATTTCCACGCAAAATATGCGGGGCTTGTATGATTTCATAATCCCCGCATTTTTGTTGCAAAAAAGAAAGTCACATATATCTTAGCAGAAAGTTGAAAAATGTTGCGTTTGCTTCACACAAGAGCCGTTTCCCCCTGTTGCCATGGGAACGTTATGAAGTGACGTAATTACGCGACATGAACATCATTGAAAAGCTGTAAAACAGGAAACATTTTTTCATATTTTATTTATTCATTTTTACAGAAGTTGTAGCATATTCCTTTTGTAAAGCTACAGAATTTGTTTGACTCATCAATGTTTTGTAAGTGTGAGCCATGTGTTTATTAAGGTCTGAAATAAAACAAAATGAAATATTCCAGCACTTTCTGTGATGTAGTTATGCTTGCTTATCATAGGAAGTAATAAGAAATAGCTCTTTACAATAAGATAGTAGCCTAGTGAGAACAGGGTGTTAGGGAATCACTTTATCAAACCGCAGTTTTTGCAAGTTCCCGCAATTTCATCACATAAAATTGCATAAATATCCTGCATATTCCATCGCCGCATAATCAAGGATTTAAAAAAGATTTATTATATACAATTTTATTACAGTTATATGAATTCATTAATTGTGTATTATATGAATGATTAATATAATTATGCATTTATATAAACAAGGCTGTTCTATTATTATTTGTGAGTTGTACACTAATACATTGGATTATTTTATTTATTACAGTTTTTCCTTTCACTTTTGTAAAGTGAAAAGTTAATATAAATTGTATTTTATTGTTTTGATTTTGAGCAGTGAATAACTGCTATTAAAAGATAATAGGGTATCATTGTTTATTGCTGATTTTAAAGCTTACTGAACTTGAAATGATTTGGATATCTACAGTTCTACATAAATACACAACATAAGAATGGCCCCTCTGTAATAATTGTGGCCCCTCCTGTGCCCCCCAGTTGAAAAAAATCCTAGAATCGCCCCTGCTCAGGCATGACGTGAAGATCCGGCATGACGTGAAGATCAGATCAGGCATGGCGTGAAGATCAGATCAGGCATGGCGTGAAGATCAGATCAGGCATGGCGTGAAGATCAGATCAGGCATGGCGTGAAGATCAGATCAGGCATGGCGTGAAGATCAGATCAGGCATGGCGTGAAGATCAGATCAGGCATGGCGTGAAGATCAGATCAGGCATGGCGTGAAGATCAGATCAGGCATGGCGTGAAGATCAGATCAGGCATGGCGTGAAGATCAGATCAGGCATGGCGTGAAGATCAGATCAGGCATGGCGTGAAGATCAGATCAGGCATGGCGTGAAGATCAGATCAGGCATGGCGTGAAGATCAGATCAGGCATGTCGTGAAGATCAGATCAGGCATGTCGTGAAGATCAGATCAGGTATGGCGTGAAGATCAGATCAGGCATGACGTGAAGATCAGATCAGGTATGGCGTGAAGATCAGATCAGGCATGACGTGAAGATCAGATCAGGTATGGCGTGAAGATCAGATCAGGCATGACGTGAAGATCAGATCAGGTATGGCGTGAAGATCAGATCAGGCATGACGTGAAGATCAGATCAGGTATGGCGTGAAGATCAGATCAGGCATGGCGTGAAGATCAGATCAGGCATGGCGTGAAGATCAGATCAGGCATGGCGTGAAGATCAGATCAGGCATGGCGTGAAGATCAGATCAGGTATGGCGTGAAGATCAGATCAGGCATGACGTGAAGATCAGATCAGGCATGACGTGAAGATCAGATCAGGTATGGCGTGAAGATCAGGCATGACGTGAAGATCAGATCAGGCATGGCGTGAAGATCAGGCTGAACAGGCATGATGTGAAGATCAGGCATGGCGTGAAGATCAGATCAGGCATGGCGTGAAGATCAGATCAGGTATGGCGTGAAGATCAGATCAGGCATGACGTGAAGATCAGATCAGGCATGACGTGAAGATCAGATCAGGTATGGCGTGAAGATCAGGCATGACGTGAAGATCAGGCATGACGTGAAGATCAGATCAGGCATGGCGTGAAGATCAGGCTGAACAGGCATGATGTGAAGATCAGGCATGGCGTGAAGATCAGGTTGAACAGGCGTGATGTGAACATCAGGTGAATCAGGCCTGACGTGAAAATCAGGCTGAAGAGATACTGTGGACTTGAGGGGCTCCTCCTCTGCTAAACCCACAGAAAGAGGTGAACCGGCCAGCAAAAGAGCCTGGACAATATATTGTTCAAGACTCCAGCTAGGGTGATGGAGTGGCATAAGGGAGTTGAGCGGCTCGGATAGCCCTCCCCGGAAAAATATCATCAGGCACACCTCATCAAAAGATGACAAATGTGCCAGTTCAATGAAGTCTATGATGTACTCCCCAATGGGCCTGTCTCCCTGACGGAGACACATGATCTGTGCTGCTGGATTCATAGTAGGTCGGTCGTTCTGTAAAGATGAGGCAGCAATGAAGCGGAGAGAGAATCCAAGTGCAAGCACCACTTTAATGAAACAAACATGTAATCCAGGGTGAACAAGGAACAGCAAAACTACAACAACCGACAAACCACAACTGAAACACAGAGGTATAAATACACAAGCAGACAAGCTAAACAAGATAACAAGGGGGCGTGGTTAATCCGAGACACCTGGGGAGACTAATAAACAAGACAAGGAACACCTATGGACACTAAGCAAACAATTAACAAATGACAAGACACATGGCAGGATCACATGACAAACACGGATACATGTGACAGACAAGACAAAACCCACACCATGACATATATAGTGACTTTAAGGCCCACTGATGTGCATTGAGAGATGTAGGTCATATTATTCCATTATTTTGGTCTATTTTAGGATATTGTTAGTGTGATTTGAATCTACATTACATTTCAGCTTCAGTCTTGATCTTACTTTCTGTTATTGAACAAAAATTGTGCTCATCAATAAGTGGTAACTATTAAAGCACCATTTTTCTGAAGCACTAAACCCAGTTGACATGATTCAGCACCACGGACAAGGACACACTCCAGCTCTACTTATTGTGTAAATGTAATTAAAAACAGTATCAAATTAAAAATAAAATAAAAAGATATTTAGATTTAAAAAACAACCCTGATTAAGCTCCGCTCAGCCCACACAGCCTAGCAAGCATCTGCACAGGTCAAGTCACACCCCCTCACTAGAGCTGGAGTGCTTTTAAACACATTTAATTCAGTTTGTTTTACTTCAGGGTCACTTCAATTATTTTAAGCTTTACAATTGTGAAATAGCAACAGGAAAGTCAAAGGGAAAATGTTTGAACATAGCTGTGGAATTAAAATGAAACAATCAAAACTTTTTTTTTAAACTTAAAATTTCAATTTTAAGTAAATATAGATTTTTTATTATTATTATTTCTGTTTCATTGTTGGTGTTTATAAAATAACCATTTCCTTTGCTCGTGAAAGTGGCACCTTACACCCAAAGTCTATAGCTGGGACAGCCAATGAAATTTGACTTTGTCATACGAGAATATTTGAGAATAACCAATCACGTCCAGGATCAGTTTCCATTTGATTTAGTTACTTAGATTGTGCACCTTGCCATCTCTTATTCTTTGCTTGCACATCAAGGCAACATGAGCACAGTTTTATTCTTCACCTTTGTTTGTAAGTATGATTATAAATGACTAAAAATAATCATATAATTATGACTATTTATTTATTCATTTTAACTTTTATAATTGTTTATTCATTATCAGACATTTATACAAAGCAAATAATATTCTTAAATTAACTTCTTTATGTAAATGCATTGTATGACACATCTTTACTACTTTTTGTATTCAGGTTGCATTGGGGCACAAAACATTGGGCAGCCAAAACGTTTGCAAACCTCTAAACTGGGTGATGATGTCACTATTGAGTGCTACTTACCCAATACAGATTTTAACAATATGGTGTGGTACAAGCAGGGGATGGGAATGAAACTTCAAGCCATTTCAAAAACGTACATTTACATGACGGATGTTGAATTTATTGATGGAAATACTGATGGCCGTTTTAACGTAACAATAGAAAAAGGAATTTATCATTTACATATTTCTTTGACTAAAAAGGAAGATATAGGAACATACTTTTGTGGTGTGGTAACGTTGGGAGAACTGTATTTTGGACCTGGAACATTTTTGATGCTTCATGGTACGTTTTTGCCTTTCATTATATAATACCAGAAACAGATTTACTTCATATCTAAAGGTGATAATCATGCAAAAAGACTATACGTTATAAGACACTATAAGTTATAAAAGTACAATGTAATAAAATACTTTTGGTTTTGCTTTAAAGAAGAACACACTGCAACAATGGTTCTTCAGGAGCCTATTTCAGATAAAGCTCACATTGGAAACAACATTACCCTGGTGTGTAGAGTCAAAAAGGTAGATGAGAAATGTGCAGGAGGACATCATGCATACTGGTTCAAAGAGGCTGCAGATGAATCTCATCCTGCCATCATTTACGCTGATGAAGATATGAAGAAACAGCATGAAGGGGGCTTTGAGGATGATTCTACTACACAGATCTGCATTTACACCCTCGCAAAGAGGAACCTCAGCCTTTCTGACGCTGGTACTTACTACTGTGCTGTACTCGCATGCGGCAAGATAGTGTTTGGAAATGGAACTCATCTGGAATTCATCCCTGGTAAAGTTAAGCCCTATTAAGTGACTTAAAGTTAATATTTCCAATGTGTATCTAAATAATGATAGCATTTATAATGATTTATCATGCCAGTAAAATCCTTTTTTTAAGGAATTTTGTAAAATTAGGAATGTTTGTTGACTTGCCATGTACAGTACACTACAGTTTTTTACAATAAAAAAAAATCAGTCGAGATTTAGAAAAAAAAACACGAGCAATACTGTGCCATTTGCTGGTCCAAGTTTTCAAGTTATCAAAAATGAATCCTAATAAGATTTGCAACATATTTTGATTTTTAATATAAAGTCTGGTAAAACATAAATAAATGTTTTCTTGCAGACAGCGAGTCGACAGCAACTCCATTGTTTCTTATACTGGTCTCGTCAAACATCATTTCTATGATAATAATGATCTTACTTGTGGCTGTGCGATGTGAGGACCAAGGCAGATCATCAGGTATCATATTTAAATGTTTTCAGACTAGTTTTAAATCAGATTCTTAGTTTTATTTGCAAGACTATAAAGCTGACATTCATACTTTTTAGCCTGTTTCAACAGATCTTGTGATCAAGAGACATCTGAAGGTACTCAGCAGGTAAATCCTCGCCACTTTATTTATTCACAATAAGTTTGATATCATTTTGATGATATATTTCAACGCAGTTTCATGAACGATTTGAATACCTGTATATTTTTCAGATTTTTCCAGATGTTTCTTGTTCATTTACTAACATTTTCAGTGTTTAAATAATTTAAAGTTTATCTACTTGAGCTCACTTTACTTAAATATGTCTACGACTTGCAAAAATCTTGCTTTATCAGGTTGAAGATGCAGACGCCTTGACTTACACACCTGTGAGTTTCAGCAGTAGATCACGGCCCTCTAGAGGAGCTAAACAACACAACGTTTCCCAGCGTAATGATGTCTACTCAAAGATCAGGTCCTAACAAAGGACTACTGGAAGACCTTTCCTGTTTGATCCAGAAGTGCAAATGCATAAAGTATGATGATTTAACAATATAACATCCAATAAAATCCAGTAGAGCAATAGCTGTTGTCTAAACATGGCAAAACTGTAAATTCAAACAAGTTCAGTTTACTTAAAAAAAAGTTTGGAAACCGATTGCCTTATTTTTGCAAAGCAAACTTAAAGGGAAAATGTCTCGGTTACTGATGTAACCCTCGTTCCCTGAAGGAGGGAACGGGAGACGTGACGTCGACGTGACGACGTTAGACGTTAGGGGATCACTTCAGGGAGCCCTATTGTGACGGCCTGCATACTTGTTTGTGTTATGTCTGTGTTTCAGTGGGGCGGGGCTTCAATCCTGAGTGCGGATGGAGGACACCTGCGGTGGCAGTTTCTCTTCCTGATAAAAGCTTCCGGCTCCCTGCCTTCAGGAGAAACGAGCGAGGGGTTCTCCCTCCTGCGTGCTTTTTCCTTTACATGTTTTGTGTTGTTGCCGGCATTTTGTGTTTAATTGTGTTTTTGTTTGGTAAATAAATTGGTCATCTCTTGATTGAGGTTTTGCGTCCCGCTTCTTTGTCACAACCTCTGAGCCGGGCTGTGACACTATCAACTTCGAGTATCTAAGAACAAGCCAATGAACGTTGACGTGCGTGAACGCGCCACGCGCCCCCACCCCGCAGCGCGGGTATAAAACAGGAAGCGGGCGCGAGCACCCACCGTTTTTCACTGAGGAGCCGAGTTTAATGACGGCCGTACAGCGATGGTCAGCAACTGTGGCGGCGGGACGTCACGTCTCCCGTTCCCTCCTTCGGGGAACGAGGGTTACATCAGTAACCGAGACGTTCCCCTTCAGTCGCTCACGTTCGACGTAACGTCGACGTGACGACGTTAGGGGATCCCATGGAAAACGCCACCGGTTGCTGCCACATCCAGTGCCCTGCGCAAGACTCTCAGACCCCCAATGCTGGGGCGGAAGACCTGCGTAGAGGGAGAACCTGCTGTTCCACATACCCACGCAGTGAACTCTTGAATAACACTGGGAAGCGTGCCTCTCCAGGGGAGAGGGACGCTGCGGAGCCACATCCTGCCTGAAGGGAGGTACCATGTGGAGAATACACATATGGACTGGCCGGTTGGGGCAGTGCAACATATAGAATGTCACTGGGGTGGCTCCACCTAAGGAGGGGGAGGCTACACCAGACAGTGACAGCAGAGCGAGCTCTGCCAAGGGAAAGACACGGGCTCACCGCAGGGAGCTGATCGTGGAAAAATACTCATATGGGATCGCCGCAGGGATCACACACACGGAACCCAGCCTAGCACAAGTTACACAAGCATACGAGCACTAGGCCTGGCGTCGGACGCTCCGCAACGTCCAACTGCCGAAGGGGTGTGGAGGAACTCACAGGGTTCACCTGGGTGGGGAACTCGACTGGAGCAAAAGAGCGCACGTATCCACTCCGTAGAGGGGAGTGGCGCAGCAAGCCGACACTAGAGCGGGAACTTCGATGTTACCGGCTGGTTGAAGCGAGCACACAGGAAGAAACCGGCTCAACACGTAGGCTATAGAACCTAGCGAACGTGTTAGGTGTCGCCCAACCCGCAGCTCTACAGATATCTGTCAGCGAGGCGCCGTGTGCCAGCGCCCAAGAAGAAGCGACACTCCTTGTGGAGTGGGCTCTCAACCCGGGCGGGCAAGGCACGCCTTGGGCTTCGTAAGCCAAGGCGATGGCATCCACTATCCAGTGGGCCATCCTCTGCTTGGAGACAGCCTTTCCCTTCTGCTGGCCTCCGTAACAGACGAAGAGCTGGTCTGAGGTCCTGAGGCTTTGCGTTCTGTCCACGTACAAACGCAGAGCGCGGACGGGACAGAGAAAAGCCAGGGCTGGGTCTGCCTCCTCCAAAGGCAGCGCTTGCAGGTTCACCACCTGGTCCCGGAAGGGAGTGGTAGGAACCTTTGGCACGTATCCGGGCCGGGGTCTCAGGATCACGTGAGAGTTATCCGGGCCGAATTCCAGGCACGATTCGTCGACCGAAAATGCATGTAGGTCCCCTACCCTCTTGATAGAGAGGTCCCCTACCCTCTTGATGCCACGTACCCTTGTACGTGGCACCCCAGCCGGTGATAGAGGCATCCGTGGAGACCACAGAGTGCCTGGACACTTGTTCTAGGGGAACACCTGCCCGCAGGAACGAAGGGTCCGACCACTAGCTGAGAGTTTGGCGACAGTGCGGGGTTACTGAAACCCGGCACGAGCCGCTCTGCCACGCCCATCTCGGGACTCGATCGTGAAGCCAGTGTTGGAGCGGTCTCATATGAAGCAATCCGAGCGGCGTTACCGCGGCTGCAGATGCCATATGCCCCAGGAGCCTCTGAAACAGTTTCAGTGGTGCCGCTGTTCTGCGTCTGAGCGTACTCACGCAGTTCAACACTGACTGGACGCGGGCCTCGGTGAGACGCGCTGTCATGTTGATCGAGTCCAACTCCATACCGAGAAAAGAGATCCTCTGCCCGGGGGTGAGTTTGCTCTTCTCCCAGTTGACCCGAAGCCCTAGGTGGCTGAGGTGACTGAGCACCAAATCCCTGTGTTCGCACAACTGCTCTCTCGACTGGGTGAGAATAAGCCAGTCGTCGAGATAGTTGAGAATGCGAACACCACGCTCGCACATAGGAGCAATGGCCGCCTCCGCAACTTTCGTGAAGACGCGGGGCGACAGGGCCAGCCCGAAGGGTAAGACTTTGTACTGATATGCCCGTCCCTCGAGCGCAAAGCGAAGAAACGGTCTGTGTCGAGGGAGAATCGAGACATGAAAGTACGCGTCCTTCAGGTCGATCGCTGCAAACCAATCTTGGGGACGGATGCATTTGAAAATGCGTTTCTGCGTAAGCATCTTGAATGGTAGCCTGTGAAGGGACCGGTTCAGGACGCGCAGGTCCAAGATTGGCCGTAACCCACCTCCTTTCTTGGGTACAATGAAGTACAGGCTGTAGAAGCCGGTCTTCATATCGGCTGGAGGGACCGGCTCGATTGCGTCCTTCGCCAGTAGGACTGCAATCTCCGCTCTGAGAACAGGGGCACTGTCCGCCAGAACACGGGTGAACAGGATGCCCCTGAAAACAGGGGGGCGCCGGGCGAACTGAATCGCATAGCCGAGTCTGACAGCACGGATGAGCCAGCGAGACGGACTGGGAAGCGTTAGCCAAGCTCCCAGAGACCGAGCAAGCGGGACCAACGGCACCACAGACGTACCCGGAGTGGGGCAGCGTGACAGAATGCAGGGACCTGACTCGGGCGGCATAGCGGCCCGGAGTGGGGTCTGAACGTGTGGTGCAAGACGTACCTGCTTCCGCCGGAGGGCAGAGTGAGTGTGCGGAGGCGACAGTGCGTCCAGGACACAGCCACTGCTGCCCGCTGGCGATGGAAGAGGGGCTCGGGAGTGACAAGGCATAGCGTCGTCGACTGCCAAGCGTGCCCTCTTGGGGCCCAGAGGTTTCAGAAATTGCTCTTTCTTTGAAAAGGTGGGTACCACTGACCCGTGGGTCAGTGGCGGAACAAAAATAAAAGGAAACAAAGGATTCTCCACCCGGCCCTCCACCGGGGGAAGGAGTGGCACGTCCGCCATCTCCTGAAGAGCAACTTGATCCACCTCTGGGCCGCCCGTCTCAGGGACGTTTGCACCGGCGCTTGCCTCCTGGCTTGGCAGCGGCCTGGACGGGCGGGGTCGACTTCCTGCGGCTTGCTCCACGCCGAGGCCTGGATGATGGCTGCTGCTGGGGCTCAGCGGGAGCGGAGGACGCCGCAGGAGGCCGACCTCGGCGACGAGTAGACGGAGGAGCTGCGGCCGGCGGGCGGGTGGGAGCAGCAGCGGTCCGCCGGGGCAGGATGTGTCGGATGGCCTCCGTCTGCTTCTGTGCGGCCGAGAACTGCTGGGCAAAGCTCTCGACCGCGTCGCCGAACAACCCAACCTGGGAGAGAGGGACATCCAGGAACCGGTACTTATCGGTGTCCCTCATGTCCGCCAGGTTGAGCCAAAGGTGGCGCTCCTGGACCACCAAGGTGGACATCACCTGACCGACTGAACGTGCTGTTTCCTTCGTCGCCCGGAGGGCGAGGTCGGTTGCCACACGGAGCTCCCGGAGGAGCTCTGGGTCAGAACCACCCTCGTTCATGTACATGAGCGCCTGGGCCTGGTGGACCTGCAAGAGCGCCATGGCATGAAGAGCGGAAGCAGCCTGTCCACAGGCCTTGTAAGCCCTCGCCGTTAGACGGACTTACAGGCCTTGGACGGGTGGCATGGGTCACCCCGCCAGGAGGAGGCGGATGCCGGACACAACTGCATTGCGACAGCCCGCTCCACTGGGGGGATCCCCACATACCCCTTAGCTGCCCCGCCGTCGAGGGTGGCGAGGGGAGAGGAGCCACTAGGACGGCTTCGGGCACTATATGGTGCCTTCCACGTCCTAGAAAGCTCCTCATGCACCTCCGGAAAGAAAGGTACCGGGGTGGCGCACTGAGAACCAGCACGGCCCGCCCCGAGAAACCAATCGTCCAGCCGAGAAGGTTCGGGACGTGGTGGAGGATTCCACGCAAGCCCGACCTTCTCGGCGGCCCGGGAGAGCATAGCGGCCCATTCTGGATCCGGCTCGGACAACGCTACACACCCCGAAGGGGGCAACGCAGCCGAGTCGTCATCTCCGGATGACCGCTCCCCCTCCGATGCTGCGATCGACATCTGATCGTCAGCTGGTGCCCCAAAGGAAACGACTGGTCGTTCCGGAGAAGGACCGAGCCGTTCGCCAAGGGGCGCCGATGGCAACAGCACATGAGAGGCGTGAGGGGCCCGCGGAGATTGCCTCGGCGGGGAAGCCCTCACGGTAATCCTCAGATCACCCTGGTCATGCGCCGAAGTAGGCCTATTCTGCGGGGCAGAATAAGCACTAGATTGGGGCATAGGCGAGGGGACTGCACCTCCCTTGAGGTAAGCGAGTCTCGATCTAAGTGCTGTGAT